GGGTCATGCCCTCGCTGTGCCAGACACCGGGAATGGCACAGCACGAAGTGAGACGAAGACGAACATGAACATGAGTGTATCCCTGAGCTGCCCGTGCCGGAGCCCAGGGCAGATACAAGCAGGTTCCTGGTCCCCTGCAAAGTTTATCGCATGTACAGCAGAATAACACAAACAAAGTTTCGCCAAGGAATTGTAAGATTGGAAATGCAGCCGATGACAGGCCGGCCAGGCAGCCCGAGCAAAACTCCGCTAAAAGTTTCGTCCTCGGACTCTGCTACCAAGCTGACCCGCGATGGCTAACAAAAGCGATCTACAACGAAACTGCACCGATGCATTCGCACTAACATCATGAAAATGTCTTGTCTTGTCTTCATCATCACATAACATCATCACCACCACGGATCAAAATGGCATCGTCATCATCGCCAACCTCATTGTCACTCGTCACTCTCGTCACGGTCGTCTACCACAATATCTAATTACACACATCACTGCTGCTCATGCATTCTGACGTTAATTACCAAAAATGCAATGAGTGCCACCTTTCCAGTCAGTTAGTGACTTACACAACCCCATTTAGCACCATGATCTCTGGGCATCATTATTTGTGATCAGCCAAAGCTTTGTTTGTTGACTATGCGTCCTTATTTTGGCCTGCTCTGTCCTGGTCATCTCCTGGTTGACTTGTCCGTCGTTGTTGCGACAAAGGTGTCGGCTGCCACGCTTTTGCATCGCCGTCCCCGGCTCCATGATTCTTGGAAAGCTTCGCACTAACGCTGGAAGCGGCGAAACTGCCCAAGCGCCAGCAGCTATCTTGCGGCCCAGCGGCTTCGACAAGGGCCCGTCACCACCGGGGGAGCTGGTGCGTCGGAACTTAGACCAAAAGCGAAGCTCTCACTGCACTTCAAAAGTCCGCCGTTCAGCTCAGAAAATGCTTCAAATCACAGGGTAAACCGGGCCTGCCACCATGGTGCAAAGGGTGCTAAAGTTGTAATAAACATGTAGATGGCGCGGGTTGCAGAAGTGTGTAATGAAGAAGCCATTCTATACGTGTCTCAAGCATTTGTCACAGTTCTCACTCTCTCGCTGGAAAACCAAACTGTTCCGGAATCCAGCGCGGTGGAGCTGGTGTAGCGAAAAAGCCTGCAAACATGCAACTTTGTAATTTTCGTTTGCAGACACACACTATGAGGTTCTTAGGTTCCGAACAAAGAGAACCGGTTGATGTCAACCTCATATTAAGAAACCCCTGTGTAATATGGGGGTTCTTATGTTCTGAACAAAGAGAACTGGTGAATGTCAACCCCACATTAAGAAACGCCCGTGAAATTGGAAAATCCAATTCCCAAAGCGTAATTTTCAACCGCCCGTACTTTTAGAATCCAAGCGGCCTGTGCGGAAAACATTAACCAGAATCTTGCTTAGATAAAGGCTCATCTGAGCTGAAAGAAGACCCCTGGCCCAAGCAAGCCCAGATTCGAACTCTAGCTTGGCTTCCGTGTGTCATGCTAGAAGACTTTTGGGGCCTCTAGTACTGGCGGCAGGCTGTAAGGCTCTTGGGCACTCTTATTCCGGAAGCTGGGGCTCACATCCTTGGGGGGGGTTTGTTTTGTGGAGTGGGCATTAATTACTGTCCACGCCAGGCGTGCGGACGTGCGCGCGAGGCACAGCCTAATAGTCTGTGCTCGCTGTGCGAGTACATGGAAACGAAGCATTTTGGCGGTGGTGCTTTGAAAACGCTTGAAACCCACTAGACAAGGCGCAGGAAGCGGTGTGGTCAGAGTGTTCCTAGAATGCTGAATCGTGCCCGGACACGCAGGAACGATCTTGCCGTGGTCTGCCGAAACGCTCGAACCCCACCAGAAAGGGTGCTCGGGGAAGCATGTTTGCACTGAAGACACTCGAACATCACGGACAAGGCGAGAACATGGGTGGAAACATTTTGGCCGAGGTGCCCTGAAAACACTCGAAACCCGCAAGACAAGGGTAGAAAGCATCACGCAGGAATCCGCAGAACTGGCCAGCACATGGGGTAAAACCCGTGGAGACGCACCGGACAAGGGGAAGCTTCGCGGTAATGATATCTATAGACCGCTGAATCCCGCCCGTACATCCCGGCGATGTCGTGGTGGTTGGTGGTCTCCTGCTGGTCTTTGGGACGGGCCTCTTCCTGGTGGTCTTGTCGGGTTTCCCCAGTTCGCTGTGGTCGTCCTGTTGGTCCTGATCGTCCTGGTCGTCTTTGTTGTGGTGGTCGTGGTTCTATCAAGCTCTATCACAGTTTGAGGATGTAGGCTGGCCATGTTTGTGCACGTTTGAGGTCTACACTTGCATGTACACTTCAGATACTCTTATTCAGCCCTGATTTCACACAAACGTGATCTGGCGGCTACCCACCGGCAACAGAACAGGGGGTTGTAACACTGCACTCTTGTTACCACTGGGGCTTTGCTTCTGTTAACTTGAATCTCTGGAACGAGGATTACAAGCAAAGGCCCGAACGAACTCGCCGGCAGTCGGCAAAGCTCCGACAATATCTTCATCTTCGGCATCCTTCACCGGCAAGCGGCAAAGCATGCTACATGTGCTCCGTTCGATGGTTTGCTCGCACCTTGACGCCGGCTTGTCCCCAGGTCAGGCTCACGATCTTCTTTGCCTTTGTCCAGCGCAGTCGTCCAGTCTCACTGCGGTGCGAGCTGGACAACATGGACCAGTCCTCCGCAGCCAGCGGCAGCTCCACCTCAGGCATGCAGATGACTGGCTGTATACTAGCAGGCATCACATCGCGATGGAAGACGCATCCCGATTCTGACCGCACAACCTCTGCACAAAGCCCTGCAGCTTGAATGGCCAATGCGTGCCCTCAAGCCTGAAGAAGTCGATTCTCCCCCTGCTCCCAGCGATTTCCACGGGGGCCGCGGATCACCACCTTGAACTCAATCCTGGCTCCACTCCAACAACACTCCAAAAGGCAGAGACTCGCCAGGTAGTGGATTCGAAGCAACTCGCACATGATGAAGCATTGAGACAGGGAGTTGCACGGACTTGTCACAAGTCCCTCCATCCTCAGACCGTAATCAATTGGCAGCATTGAACTCCCTGCCAGCTGCGACGAGCCCTCCGACAATCCAAGATCCTCAACAGCATCCAGTCCCAGCCGGTCCTGCTTCCGTTTGGCAGTTTGGCCGCTTTGGACATCCACCGTGGAAACATCGCGGCAGACGTGGTGCAGGGAAGAGCCTGTCCAACGAAAGGACACTGTGATCCTACCGGGTCTCGGTGAAGAGACTTGGACCTAGCAGAACTCCACAAGCTGCCTCGGTGGGGTCCCAAGCTCCCAGTTTCTTGTGAGAGCCGACGAGAAAGACTTCCTCACCTTGCGCAATCCGAGTGCTAAAGCAAGCTGAAGCACCCTTTGCTTGTGCGTGCTGGGGTCCAGGCCATGCTCTGTGCAGGAGCAATCTACATTGAAGGTCACAGCCACTGAAGCCATTACGGACGATCGCTCAAGAGGACTATCGAGAACTTACGATATCAGGGGCACATCCGCAACTTCGACCGGGCAAGGGCCTGTCAATGCTGTCAGAAGAGCTGAATGCAGCAATGTCTTAGCTATCATGTATGCACATGACCTTTGCAAGCAGCAAATTGCTCCGAACCCAGGCATCAACTCAAATTCTGGCAAGTCTTATCTCCAAGCGATCTGCGTGTTTCCGTGCACCGCAGATCCCGGTACTCGGCCGGACGATGCTCCCGAGGCAGGATGCTTCTGAAGCTGCCAAGGGCGTCTGCACCACAACTCTGTGCTGGGGACATTCAAGACACTGAAGGAAATACTACTAACACACTACCACGGCGGGCGTGCAGAAGCATCTGTGAAACATATCGTAAGTGGCCGATTCCTGGGAGTCAAGTGCGCACGTCAAGATCCAAAGAGTCTTCATCTGCAGCAAGCAGCCTACGATGGTGCCAAGATACTCATCCCCACACGGGCTTGTAGCCGGAAGACACCGCTTTCTGTGCTAGTGGGGCGGCGACCTCTGCTGCTGCAGCGTAGCAATGCAGACATGGGTTTGCAATTTTCTCAGTCTTTGCGCATCCATCGACATACACTCGAGCATGCCCGAAATCCAATCGCTGCACCGCTTGGCAGCCTCGAAGTCCTCGTATCCCTCTCCGGCTGGCACGAAGCCAGTGGGCCTGATTAACAAAATCTCAGGCTCCGAGCTCCCACAACAACCTTCTAAGTATGCCTCTGCCTTGTCCTTGAGGCCTCCACCCGGCAATGATGTGCACAGAGCCCCCGGAGCCAGTGCCAGGTCCAGCACTGCCCGCCTTCAGTAGCTGCTACTGCTAAGCCCCCAGATAGTAAGAAATTGTCAATGCAGGAATCATGCCCGTTATACTCTTTCCGAAACTGATGGCAGCGTCTCCATATCGCAATGCTAACACCACAAATGATGACGACGTGCAGCAGTCGGGTGCGATCCAGAAATCACTTGATAAAACTGATAAGATGCACTGTCACGACAAGCGAAAACAGAGCCCTTGTCCCGGCCTTGCGTGGCAGTGCCAGGGGATGATCTTGCCGATCCTGCGAGACATGCAGCTGGCCTTGACGTGAACTTGCTCCGACATGCTTTGATACCCTGTGACGAAATGCAGTCTGCGCGGCAGAAGTCACACAAGCGCTGCCGCTGAGATGATCCTGGAGACGAAAGCTTTTTTAAAGTTTCTGGCATCCCAGCCTGGGGGAAGACACATTCATTGCTACTGCTACGGATACTGCTGCTAGTGCTGCTGCTGCCACGACCGCCACCACCAGCGCTCAGCACAATTACCACTGTGGTAGCAGAGGCCGTGCACCTTTGGCCGAAGGCCGCCACGCAACACCTGTCCGGACACAGCTCGTTGCTCTGATAATTGCAAAGGAATTTATCTCAGCATTGCCGTCCAAAGGAAAAAAGCCGAAGAACGCTGAGGGTTCTCTGTTTGACAAGGCCGCCGTAGGAGTTCTGATGGAAAAGGGCATTTCTTGGCTTGGTTGCTTCCATGCGGCTTGGTGATTAAATTATCAGTCATAAAGATTTTGCTGCTGTGGAGGGTGTTCTGTGAGCCTTTGTTCTGCGAATGACAGCTTTCTGCCTGAAAGTCTTCTCAGGGCATCTTCTGCAGGAGCGTGTGGATTGTTTCTCTTTGCAATCGTCATCATCATCGCCATCATGCATCACAGTCATCACATCATAATCATCGCCATCATCACCCTAATCCCCTGCATCACCACCATCGTCTCGGACATCCTCATAACCACCACCAGCATTATCTCCACTGCGACCATCAGCGCCATCATCATCTCCTTCTGCCTTGCCATAAACATCGTTGTCATGCTCACCATCATACGTAATGTTTTTCATTATCTGCAATGAGGATTCTGCACCATGGCACTGACAGAAGTGGCTCGAACAGGCAACAAAACAGCAGAGGCCGCAATGCCGAAGGGAGTTCGTTGCTCTGTGTTTACACGCATCTACAGCCGTGCTGCCGCCCACTGCAACAAGCAGTAACAAGAAGAAATGGACTTGGCACGCAGTACTGCTGCTGCTGCTGCTGCTGCTGCTCCTACTACTACTACTACTACTACTACTACTGCTACTACTACTACTATTACTACTACTACTACTACTACTACTACTGCTGCTCCTCCTACTACTACTACTACTACTACTACTACTGCTACTACTACGATTGATACGACAACTACGACTGCTACGACGACGACGACGACGATTACTACTACTACACTACACTACCACAACAACAACAACAATTTGCAATTGGACGCGGTGCGAGCGGGCTCAGCACTTGGCGGGCAGTTGCCGCTCTGGCACTCTCAATGGCTAGACTTCTACAGTGAAACCTTCACAAGACAGTATGACGATAGAGTTATAAAGCAAAGAGTAGGCAGACCTACAATGACAACGCCGCTCAGGACTGTACAAGTTGCAGGCTACTCCGAGCTACGGCGAGTCACTAGGTACCTGAACACATTGGTCACTGGTTGACCTGCTGATGTATGCTGGGCAGAATCGGAGGCGAGATGCTATTTTTCGATGCAGCGACTCAAGGCTGTCATCCGCAGATGAGGAAGAGAGCTGCTCACGGTGGCTAAAAAGGTTGGCCGAGCCACCGAAGATTGCTGAATTACGGCCCAAGGCCCCGTAGTCTTGGCCAGTGACCCTGAGAGTACCTTTGCCAGCGCCAGGAACTTGACGAGGATGACCAATCCGAGGAGTACCACCACGAGTTGTCCCAGTGCTGGCGTGAATCAGCAGTCTCGTCTTTCTGTCTCTTTTCCGAGACAGGGCCTTGGTCCTCAGACTGACGTTTGTCTGGGCGTAGCAATTTCTGCTTTGCTGGCGTGTCTATGATCAATGCGCATCTTTCGGACTTGCTTTCCTTCCTGCGGCATGTAAATGATGAGTCGATTGATTAGCCCGCACGACCTGCACGTTTGATCATAGATGGCTTTGATGGTGGAGGCCACAATTTCAAAGTTGTCATCGGTCTCCAAAGTTTCGTGCATCTCGGCCTGATCCCAGAGCTTTTTGAATAAAGCACTGATGATGCCGAAACACCCAGTGATCTTCGGCAGTACACGGTAGGCCCGGTAGGCAGGACTTTCACCAAGAGCAATGGTTAGGAGACCGTCAGTGCCCATGACAGGACGGGCTGTCATGGCTTCCTCCCAGGTTGTGTTCAAATCCGTCTTGACCAAGTTCAGCGGAGCAAAGATCCAGGGGGGTTTCTTGAGGATGCGAATTCTGTCCTGCCAAACCTTCAGCTGCTCCGACACTTTGAGGCCACCAATGACGGCCTTTTCGTTGATAACGAGGCTCGTGGCAAGCGCGTGGATCCAGGTGAACATCTCATCGGACTGGCAAATCTGGATAATTTTGTCACGCTTAGGCAAGGCATTTTCCTGGTCCTCAAAAGATGGGCTCGGTTCTGGATCGATCATCGCGTGCATGGTGACCGGGCACAACAACTGAAAAAGTAGACGAACTCGGA